GATAAGTGTTATAAACTTTCTAAAGATTATGTCACTCAATGGCTCAATCTTGGAGTATGACTTAAGATTTGATTTTGATGTATGATTTCACTTTTGATTTAACCATTTCAACAACTCATGATTCCTCTCCTTAGCCAAACAAATGAACTAAGGTTTCAGAATTACACTTAAACTCGTAAGCATAACCATATTTATTAAACTTTGATTTAACCATTTCAATAACTCATGATTCCTCTCCTTAGCCAAACAAGATAAAAGATTTCTCTTTTATCTTTCTGCCTTATTTGATTCTTCTTATTCATTCTGCATACATTGAAACTTTTTCCAATGTTTCAGAATTACACTTAAACTCGTAAGAATAACCATATTTATTAAACTTTAGTAAATCATAATGAATAATCTTATCAACCTTTGTGGTGGACCTGACCAGCACACAACCAAGTGTACCCAATCTATTAGTCCTTCGCTTGACTCACATGAGAATGTGAACAAGAAATTAGTCTTAATTTACTAAAGATGTAAATTCTCATTCATCACACAATACAACTTGCATGATTCCAAGTTTCTATCCAACTGAAACTTGGGTGATGAGAATTTTCCTTATTTGGTAAATTATGACACTACCACTAATGAAAGAATCAAATCCATTTACCCATATTGCTTATCAATGGAAACATATAAGCAACAACCTTTTTCACAAATTCCATTGTAAGGATACTTAAAATAAATAAAATCAAAACCATTTTATTTTATTTTAAAACTTTGCGGAAAACTTATCCTTACAATCCATATGGAAAACTTGTTGTTATCTATTCCTAAGCAATATATCATAACTCTTAAGTAACAACTCAAAATTCTGATCACCGAACCATGTGATCGAAATCCTTCTTCACGATCAAAATCAACATATACTTCCTTTAAGTTTCTTCGCTTTTCTTTGATTCTTAAAACATCAACATGTGACCCAGTCACATCATGCAATAAGAAACTCAGAATAGAAACTTAATAGAGTTAGACAATGGACTTTACCTGAATCAGAGTCAAACATTTGACTTTACTATCCTTATGGACTTTTAGGTAAATTTGGCAGCTTCGCAACCAATGCCCTTCCTTTGGCAACAGAAACAAATGGACTCTTTGGAAATGGTACACTGAACTATCACAGACTTAGCTTTTCTCTTTACCATTTGGTAAACCGAGTTGACTATGGCCAATCCCTTTCAATTGGGAAGAGAAAGGTTTTCTGGACTTCCAATGTTACCATTGTCAATGTCCATGGAAGTTTGGGAAGTTGATCTTTGAATCAAATTTGCTTTACCAATGCTCCAAATCATTGCTGATTCAGCATCATCAAGCAAATAGGTAAGATCATAAAGGGTCATGTCGTGATTTTTCATCAGGGAGTGACCAAGTCAATAGCCAGCTACCTTGAGACTTCGACACTCGACTCTTCCGGCTTGTCAATATGTGACTTAATCTCTAAGACCTAAGCACATATAGACTTTGTTTGCCAATAAGGATTGAGTGACTTAGAACTTTTCAGGTCTTGAAACTTGTTGGATAGGGAGATTTATTGGAGTAGGTGAAGGAAGTGAAGTATGATTTTTAGTCCCACTAATGCACAATAAAGGGATTGATCTTTCACCTTGATTGCCATTCGGGATATCATCTTCATTAGGAAGCTTCTTCCTAAAGATTTCGGAAGACCATAGCTGTCTAAACTAGACATGTATAATGGGAGAAATTCAAGTTATTTGATTTAAAGTCCTTAATATAACACCCAATATGAAATATTAAGGCTAGGACCAATAACCTATTTATAACTGGAAGAGGGATGCCGCAATCAAAAATTATAAAATAGTTGAAGGTAGGTAAGTGACGATTTACCAATTTCCACCATGAAAAAACAAATATTTTTTATTATTAAGTTTTATTGGTTTTGAAACTCCTAGATCTTTTGAGATACATTGAACTTTTCAATGGCACATTTGAATCTCGATTGTGTGTAAAACCCAAAAACGAATCTACCAATGATCAAAGACAAATAACGGAAGCTAAAGATGAAACAATAAGCAAATAACGAATAACCAAGCTTGCATACGCCTTAAAGCAATAAAACGTCTGATACAACTTGGAGAAAATACGAAGGCATCAACAACCTTTAAAGTATGACACAACACCCTATTTATAGGCATGACTTACAACCGCAAGGAGTTTACGACCGTAAACACATAACAACCGTAAACTAGACAAAATCGGTTTTTCCTACACAATCACTACCACTAACTAGTATGCCTAGACCAAACCATTAGACAGGGTCTTTCAATCTCCCCTTGGTTTGGACTAGCTCGAGCCCATTCCTTTGTTGACAATCATCACGTCTATCTGGCCCATCGCTCCATTCCAGATTCTCTTGCTTAGAATCTCCGCGATCATTGATGTGTACACCTTGGGTCATTCCTCGTAAATATTTTCAACAACTTTAATTTGAAAGTTGCTAAGATAATGAATATCCCATTTTCTGAATTGCAGCAAGTCTCTGCGATCGTACAAGCGGATGCAACCATTCTTAAGTTTTATGAGCTCCGGAAGTATTTTCATCATAGACCCAGCATTCCAAAGAACTGAGAGATCCATCTTGATAGCCTTGAAGAATAGGAAACTGCTTGACTTCTTTCGTTGCAGGCCATATCACTACCTGTAACGGCTTATCAGTAGATGGTTCCAAGACATCTTGGTGTTCAAATATAACTAATTCTGCCATCGGCATCGATGGTAATCCTTTCTTTACTTGATCATCCAGAAAATGTTTAAACTGAGTAACCCGTGGAGTGTTGAAAAGATTGATGAACGGAGCTTGAGACAACTCCGTTAGATCAATTCTCGTGAACGACCTAAATGCATGAATATCCTTATACAACTCTGAATTACCACTCTTACGAATGACAATCCACATTCTGAGAGCATCATGAAATCCCCAGGGAGCCACTCCTGATCTATCTCCAAATGTATCTCGGAACCTAACAACTTCAAGATCAGTAACAATTATTAAGGGTTCGCTCCGAAATGTATTCTGATTAGTATTCCGTTTAAACAACAATTGTCCTCTCTGAACATCATCTTCTTGATTACGACGAATAAGTTCTTGAACGTGTGGAGCCAACGGAGATTCACTACAACACGTTCAGCAGTACCAGAAGACTGACTGACTGTAGGTCAACCGGAAAAGCTTGTACGTGAAGATTAATCCTTTTTTCTTCAACGGACGTCTGGTATCTCTCACCAAGATCAACTTCAAGTTTCTTCTTTAATTCAAAATAACTGGAAGTCAGCAGATTAAAATGATCTCATAAATCGGAGATCTGCTTGCTTTTCACATTCTTATCCTTCTTGAGTTCAGCCAGTTGTCGGCCAACACTAGATTTATCTGATTGTAGCTTAGATACTTGGATACGAAGATCGACATTCTCAGCACAAAGCTCTGCCACCTGAATATCGAGTTCAATGTTTTTCTAGCTAAGAACCGAAATTTCTTTCTGCAGACCAGCAAGAGTAAGATTGTCATCCCTAGCACCACCTTCTTCAATGGAAACACCTTTTCCTCGAGGATCTGGCGATAAAAGTTGTTCTTCATCCATGTGCAACACCAGCCTTTCAGAAGTAGCATCTCGACTGTATCTAGGAACTGAGAAACCAGGCGGTGCAGAGGAACCACCAACATCAAATGTTGAACTCGGACCAGTAGGAAACATCTTTGTGGTGGTGAGTCTTGTAGTAGTAGCAGTGATAGGTGGGGTAAGAAGACCACTAACCAAAATTGCAATCAGTTCAGATTGTCTTGCATCAAGTCTTCTTCTTTTAGATAATGGTTGGTCAGCTTCTGGAGAAAACACCCTCACAAACGGTTCGGAAGTAGGAGAAACAGGCACAGGAGGGGAACATCCCATAACCATCTCCATAGGAATTGAAGTCGACACCATTTGCTTTGAAGTAGGAGTTCGCATTTTAAATGTCTCGCTCGATTTCCTTGTCTCAGTTGTTTGCAAAACAAAATCATCGACATTGTGGAAAATTGTGTAAAGATTTTCATGAGACACAACATTAGCACTGCTTGCCAAAGAAGCTGCAATATCATTGCAATCAAAACCAGTTAAGTCAAGATCATCAAGAGAATCACTTCTCGCTTCACCAATACTCATCTCTCCACCAACTTGATCATCACTCAACTCTTTTTCATGTTTTGAGACAGTTTGAACTTTGGGAGTTGGTGAGTCTTCTTTCTCGGTTTCTTCATCCTCAGATACATCTATAACAATGTTGGATGGAGTTGATTTCTCAGCAGATGTTTGCTCTGAGGATGTTTGCTCGGATGACTCATAAGACTCTGGTGTTTCATCCAGTTCAGTAAACTTGCCAAACTTTTCAAGAGGATATAGTCCTTGAAATATGAATTTCATCTCCGATTCTGTTTGATGAGTCCCACCGTGTGGGGACCCAAGGACTTCATATCCATCGTCTTTCTCACGTCTAGAAACTAATGTTAATGATCATTTGCACGAAACGGGGATACAACAGAAAAGTATCCCGAGTAGAAGCTCTGATGTTGATAACAAATTCCTCAAGGATAAACTTTGAAAAATTAAAACGAAACCCAGCAGCAAGAGATACAAAAGCACCAGTTGTGCGTTGAGAAATCTGATCTGCCCCAGACCTCCATCCCGAGATGCAGCTTACGAAAACATGGGCTAAAAACCTCCAGTATGGATGTAGCAACTTTTTCAACATTGGCGGAAAGGTTCCCTCGTTACTCATTCTTCGTAGAACCCTTTGAACATCCTCGATTCCAATCTCTATCGGGAAATGGGGTTGATCATCAATTTGCAACGCTTCACGAATAACGCCTTCATTAATGACAATCTCTCGACCCTGTATTTTTCCTTCACTGTAAAATTGCCATCATCATCCATGTGTGTCTCTGCAGTCGCCCAAAACTCGCGTATTAAACTTTGATAAACCACCGGATTGACAATGATTGCGGATGCTAAGCAACATTCACGCAATCGATGAATCATCGAACGCATATCCGAGTGAACAATCGGAGGGTCCGCGAGTATAATTGCTAGGTTGTGCATATCTGCAAAATTTTAAGTTCGCCATTTTCTGCACTCAAACACAACTGTAAGAAACCTCAAAATAAAATTTTATTTTGACCCAAAAAAAAAATATTCCAATTAAAAATATGACCAAAACAAAATTTCAATAAGCGACGATCGAGTTTACTGCCGAGATCGAGAAATTAGTTCTTGGGCTGTAAACTCAAAGTTTACGGTCTAACAACCCTTTTGAAAATTTATCACACAATATTTCCTTTATTTAATACATCCAAAGTTCAGGCAGTAAACTCATTGTTCTAGGGCCGTAAACTAGTAGTTTACGGCCGAAGAATAGACATTCGAAAAATCGCCAAAAGTCGATCCTGCCTATCGAATTGATGCACAATACTAGAAGATATGTAAATGTAAACATCCGTAACATCAATATAAATTAGAAACAAGTCCAAATCTCAAACATTTGGAGTTTACGGCCGGAGCTTATGGCCGTAAGCTCCGTCAGATCTATTTTTGCGATTTCTGGCATAATGTCACGGTGAAACACGAAACAAAATACATATTTGTGATCTAGAAGTGATTACCTTTGTGATGATGTAAGCAGTTTTCCGAAAATCAAAGAAATTTTTTTAGCCTTTTGAGAGGGTTTAAGAAGAGTTTGCGACTGAATCTCGTGAATGGGGAGATTCCGGCAGTGAACTCCTTTTTACCCTCACTTACCCTCTTACCTGATAACTACCCAGTATTTCCAACTTTCAACAATTATAATTAAAATTAAAAAAAAAACTTTGAGGATTAATTTAATTTCGGAAAAATAAAATAAAATAAAATAAAACCTAACATAATACAATTTAAAAAAACGAAATAAAAATAAAATTGAAATAGTAAAAGTAATAAAAATAAAATTAAAAAGTAAAAATTAAAATTAACATTTTTAGATTAAAAAATAAAAAATAAAAAATAAAAGAAAAGAAAAAACATGAGAGAAATATTTTAACTAAAAATAATTTTCACACAACAAAATTTAACCACTATAACTTTTGTGATGATTGGATCAAAGTTGTTGGACGACCTTATTCCACTTATCGGTACCCTTATCTTCACATCTTCGTCTGATCGATTGTCAGTATTGTAGTCCGCTTAAACACGAATGATTTGTGACGTTTTTGGACATTTTACCAATGATATGATTCAGGCATATATCTAATTGTAAATTTTTGTAATCATGATACCTCCTAAATCTTAAATAAATTCACCTTATGACCATTTAACTGACTGCAACCAGGGATATTGTTTTCCACCTAAATCGAGCAGATAGATCTACATACAATCCGTATGAGTTCAATTTTAAGTGTACCGGAACGTGTTTCCGGCTTCCTGATATGACCCAGCCATCAAGAACTTCCAGAGTACTCCTTACACCAGGTGAGCAGACAACCATTCAGAGAGAGGATAAATTCAGAATTCTATTACTTATTACTTAAGAGGGGTTGAGAAGAAGAAGGTTGCATATGCTGTGTACCAGGTCGGATTAGAAGTCACGCAAAGGAGACAACATATGGCTAACAGATAAGAAGAATTTCATATATATAACTTGTAGAGAAATAGAGTTGCATATGTTTCAATCTAGGTCGGATCTCTTCCAATCACACGAAGGGTGCAACATATGACTAACAGAAGGAAAGAGAAAAATGATATTCTACAGACCAAATTTATCGGAATTTACCAGTTGCCCCATCCAACCGGAATTAAGGACAGAATCCGCACATCGAGGAAAAGTTAAGCCACGGTTCCAAGTACGGGTTCAATTAAGGTGACAGGTAGACTCTCATGTATATCTCCCTGCTAAACCAATCCGAGCGTCGTGACATCAGGTTAAATGAATCTAACTAGGTCAAAGTTTGTTCAGTCCTTAAATTCATTAAGTTCAACTTTCCTAGTCAAGTCCATTTAAAATCTTTCGTGCCTATCATCACATCGAGTACAGAGCGTAGACGATTCAACGTAGGTACGTTACGCCGATTCAGGTTTCCCGTTATCACTTGTTAATTTCATTTCCCATCACAGTACTTACAACCGAAGTTGTCAAGAATAAATTTTAATTTTTTGTTGTTTTTGGATTTTTATTTCTCCCCCTAAATTTGTGCATGGGTGAGAGTACGAAACAAAATAATGCGCAAATTTTAAACTATCCTAAAACAAAAAAATTAAAATGTAAACTAATAAAACCAAAATTAAATTGAGAAAAGAAAAGAAAAGAAAAAGAAAGAAAAAGAAAAAAAATAAAAAACTTAATCCTCAAAACGTATCATTTTCAGAAATCTGACAAGCACATCGAAACGAGCTTTGTTAAATGGCTTTGTGAACAAGTCCGCCACATTGTTATCAGTGTGGACTTGTTCGATTCGAATTAAAGATTGTTCATAACAGTCTCTGATAAAGTGAATTTTAATGTCGATGTGCTTGGTTTTAGAGTGTTGGACTGGGTTTTTAGCAATTTGAATTGTCGCTTCATTATCACAAAAGATAGGGGTTTCGAAGTAATTCAAACTGTAGTCCAACAGCTGATGTTGGATCCAGATAACTTGAGTGCAGCAAGCTGATGCAACAACGTATTCCGCCTCTACTGTTGAAGTCGAGACAATGTGCTATTTTTTGCATTGCTTTGAAACTAATCTGTCACCTAGGTATTGACATCCTCCTAAAGTTGATTTCCTGTCAAACTCACAGCCTCCATAATTACTGTCAGTAAAAGCATAAAGATTAAATTCAGAATTCTTCGGATACCAAAGACCCAATTTGGGGCTTCCTTTGGTATACCGAAAAATTCTTTTAACAGTAATAAGATGAGAAAGTTTAGGATTAACCTGATATCGTGCGCATTGATAGACTGCAAACATGATGTCAGGTCGACTTGCAGTAAGATACATCAGCGATCTAATCATCAATCGATAAAGAGTTGGATCTACGGACTCGCCTTCGGGATCTGGAGTAAGGAGAGGTCGTTCAGCCATCGGCGTAGAAGCAGATTTAGCATCGTGAAGCGCAAACTTCTCAAGAATATCCTCCACATACTTGGCTTGATGTAGCAGGATTCTGGTTAAATTCTGTTTAACCTGAAGCCCCAAAAACATGGTCATTTCTCCCAATGAACTCATTTCAAATCGTTTCTTCATTACACTTTCGAACTCCTTGCAAAGCTTTTGGCTCGTTGATCCAAAGATGATGTCGTCGATGTATATTTGTACGAGTATCTGGTCCTTGTCGACATGTTTTATGAGCAATGTTTGATCGATAGTGCCGCGAGTATAACCATGTTCGAGAAGATGCTTTGTTAGAGTTGCATACCATGCTCTAGGAGCTTGATGCAGCCCATATAACGCTTTATCCAACTTGTAGACATGATTAGGATACTTCAAGTTTACAAACCCTGGAGGTTGATCAACATAGATTTCTCCCTTCACCTTGCCATACAAGAAGGCAGTCTTGACATCCATTTTAAAGATAGTAAAGTTCATATACGAAGCATATGCTAGGAAGATACGAATAGCCTCCAGGCGAGCTACTGGAGCATAAACTTCAGTGTAGTCAAGACCCTCGACTTGTCGAAACCCACGAACTACCAATCTAGCTTTGTTTCACACAATAACCCCTGAATCGTCTTGCTTGTTACGATAGACCCATCGTGTGTCAAGAGAATTTTTGCCTTTCGGTAGCTCAACTAACTTCCAAACACCTAGTTTTTCGAATTAGTGCAACTCCTCATGCATTGCATCCACCAGGCTAGGTTCGTTTAGAGCCATTTCTACATTCTTGGGTTCAATTTGTGAGATGAAGCAAGAATACATACATGTATTTACATCTCCACTCTGGCTTCTAGTTTTAACACCATCATCTAGCTGGACAATGACATTTTCGATTGGGTGATCGTGTTGAACTCTTGAAGGTATTTCTTGACTGATATCATTTAGAGAAACAGGATGAGTGTGAATGTTGATACCTCCTTCATTTGCTGGTTGGGCAGCACCAGATGGTTCTGCGACATACTCATCTAAAATAAGATCAGGAAAGAGTAATTCCATAAATGTTGATGAGACAACGGAAGCATCGTTTGGAATAAACTCTCTCTCTCTCTCTCTCTCTATGGATATATGAGGTGGTGTTCCAGCATCAGAGGAATCAGTATGAGCTGATTGAGGACTATCATGCTCCAAAACGGGCACTCTTGAGGAAAAGGAGAAGACTCTTTCGAGTATGTAGAAGAAGACTCCACCTCAGGTGCAGCAGAAGGCTCCCCCTCAGATGCAGCAGAAGGCTCCACCTCAGATGCAGCAGAAGGGTTGCCCTTA